TTTGAATATAGTCTACAACTTTGCTCGATACACTAAACTTGGTTTGCTTGGTCTACAACATATTTGAATGACATAACACTATCAACCTAATTTGGTTAAACGTATAGGCAACCATGGCATGGTATGTAGTGCATGTTGGTTTGGTTCCTAGGATCTACCTAACCTGGGAAGATTGCTATGCTCAAGTCAATCAATACCCAGGTAATTGTTACAAAAAATACAACACAGAAGCTGAAGCTTTGAGGGCCTACTATGGTTCAATGAGCGCAAACCATGGCCATCCACCGGCACTGGAGATTGAAGAGGAGCCACCCACCGGAGATATGAAGATTAGGAGAATTGCTCCTTAGTCTTGGAAAGATGCTATGCTTTTATTTATGCCTATGATCATTGCTTTTCTTATTTAGAAGTTGATGTAGGCTTTAATTCATAGAACAGGAGGTGGACTTTGTTGTATGAAGCCAATCAAACAATGCATTTGTTGTACGTGAACTGTATGTGGACTTATTATTGGAGTTTGCATTAAATCTCTATTAGTTGGGTAATATATATATATATATGCACAAATGCTACTAGTAGTTGTACATAGGCAAAACTGACCATGATCATGTCACAGCCATGACTTGTCGTCGCTCGTTAACCCGTCGCCCAAGAACTGATAGGCAACAAGAAGCGGCTAATATCAGTGAGACGGGAGAGCCGCATGATCTAACAAACGGTGGCGGTAACAATTAGGACGGTGAGAACGAGGTACCATGGACCCCTACCACTCTTCTCGAGCTGGATCAAGATGACCAAGTAACTTAGGTATCATGTGACTAGGTAGCCACACACGCTAATTAATTGAGAGTCTATTAGCTTACTTGGTGTCTCTAGCAGGAGGTTCAGCAGACCGAGCAGCCAGATGGTTCGGGTAGCAGCAAGGCCAGAACCAAGCAAGGGGTGTCACAGCTTCCTACTGGTAGGAATGCACACTAGCACACCACTGAGTTTGACCAAGTCGGGGAGCCGCTCGCACCTAAAAGAGCTGCGGCCAAATACAAGACTGTCATTGGGGCACTTGTAAGGGACTACATCCCGATTAAGTACAGGAAGTGGATTGGGAAAGATGATGACCCATGGAGGGTTCCCCAAAAGTGAGAAGGATGACATATAAGAGAAATGGATCCTATAGTATTTCACTTTCCCATAGGACTATGACAAGGAGCAAGTCAAGAAAAAAACAAAAGAAATCATGGGGACATGCTTCCAGACTTTCAAGGGGATATTGTACAAGAAATTTATCCTCGAGGATAAAGAGCCAAATTGGGATGGTGGATAGTACGCCAAGCAGAAGGACTTATGGCAGGAATTCAAGCAATACAGGCAATCCGAGGAGTACTTGAAACTAAGTAGGAAGAATAAGGAGAACTCGCTTAAAGCGATGAATCCTCATAAACTCGGCTCTCGTGGCTACGCCAGTAAGATAGATGCATTTGAAAGGGAATTTGAGGAGGTGGAATGCCTTGGCATTGAGCCTGAGACTGCCAATTGGCATATTTCTATATGGCGAGGGGGGTACACCACGACTTGAACGGGAGCTTTAGCTCCACAAATCTAGCCATGAGTAGCCTCGTCTAGAGGATCTCTGAGGTAAATGATGAGGTGAGGAAAGGGACCTACAGTACTAATAGGGAGAATGACATGCTCACCCAAGCACTCAGAAACAAGGAGCACCCCGGTCGCACTAGAGGAGCCGGTCTTGTTCCTTGGAAAATAGCATTCGAGGAAGAATCTTCCACTTATCAGAGCCGCTCGAGGGGTAGAGCGGCACAAGAGGCAGAGTATATGAGGGTTCTAAAAGAGATGGAAGACAAATTTGAAAAACAAATTGATTTGAGGGTTCAAGAAAAAGTCAATGTACTTATGGCGTCCATGGGATCAGGAGTAGTACCACAAGAACCTATACCGACTAGCTTTAGTCCATAGTTTAGGGGTCACAGCAGCTGTGGATCGACCCCTCTCGACGATGAAGAGGCGAATGCACCACATCCGGTGGACAGCATCAATGAACCCATCAATGTTAGGATGTACATCCATCGGCAATGGACAACTAACAAGGTGGTAGTTGGCTAGGCCTAGCCTACGGGAGACGGGACCATTAATGGCCGCCCAATTCTAATGGGGTATGCCCACGTCAGCATTGATACTATACTTGATAAGAAGTATAACAAGATGCACATTGATTACCCCGAACAGGAAGACAGGCAACGCCTTGTTCAGAATAAGGGCGCTCATGTCGCCTGGTGCAAGCACTTCATTAAGCTTGATCCCTAGTTGTCTTCGGATGATGATGAGGACGACGATGAATCTTCACCGCCTAGAGATGATCACTCACCATCTCCTAATAGAGGAGATCACACTACCTTCCCTATTTCCTTGCCATCACCCCCGAGAAGACAGAAGTCTCCTTCTCTTCCTTCTCGTCCTCCATCTTCACAAGCCCCAACAAAAGAGAAGACTCCTCCCCCTCCCTCTTCATCACCCCTGAGAAAACACAATTCTCGTCCTCCTCCTCCTCTACAACAGCCCAAAACAAGATCTAAGGCATCCTCATAGTCATAAAAAAGGTCCTCAGATTCAGTCGCTAATGCTCCTAAAGTGGACCAACAAAAAAATAAAAGGACGAAGAGTGGCAGCGTTACAAACTTGATGAACCAACAAAAGCCAGAAGTAGCCTCCAAGGAAGACAAAGTTGGATTCTAGAATCTATTTGCCTCACTGCCTAAGTGGAGGGTGCAGTCCGAATTCAATAGGCAAACAGAGAGTATGCACAATCAATTAAGAGTCAAAGAAATACACCATGAAGATCAAAGGAAGATAAACAAGATTGTCGAAAACAACCCTGGATTAACCAGGGATGATGCCACAAACATCTATTATGATTCACTATATGAGACGGCAAGACCGGCAATGCAGTTTCAAAGACGCAATTTCTTGGTGGACGAGGAGGAGTATAAAAATTTGACAACATATATGCATGACTTGCATGATTATTACATGGCCCAAGCACTTAAGACAGGGCAGGCGGGTTTCGATTATATTATCCGTGCGCTGCATGTTTTCCATTATCCAAATGAAGAGAAGCACTTTGTCGGTTGGGATCACTTGTTTTAGCTATTCCAGAGACGCGATCTCGATACACAAGTGTTGACACTGTGGACTATGTAACTACCCTACTCACATGATATTATAATTAACTACTCTCTCAATACACAAATAGTTAACGACTGCACATTCCTCATGAATTATGCAGGTGTGTAGCAAAACATTGCTTCAAAACAAAGTACGCTCATATGTCTTTTCTGGACCCCGAGCTAGTCAATGAGAGAACATGCAGAGGCATGCATAGAAATAAAGTGGAAGATCTGACGGAGACACTGACTGCCATTTTTGAAAATTTCAAGATGAGTAATAAAACCAAAATACTTCTAGCATACAACTGCGAGTATGTGTTCTCTGCTCTTATTTTTATGCTTGTTTTTTGTAGTTACAATTATTCGTTAACTAGGGTTCTGTGATTGCAGCAACCATTTTGTCTTCATTGTTGTTGATATTAAAAGAAATCATATCAAGGTGTGGGACTCGAAGAAAAAGCCACTTTCTTTGCTCGATACCCTAGTCGAAGTGCTTAATGCGTAAGCGAACCTAATAACATATTATTTTCTAATCGCACATAGTATATTCTAATATTTCCCTTTTTCACACTTTATAATGTGGCACAATGTCGAGGCAAGAATGGTCAGTGGGACAAAGGTCCCATTCTAGGTTGCACCAATGCAATTGGAGACCCTAACCAGCCGGTGGAAAATAATGAATGCGGGTTCTACGTAATGTGGGCAATGCTTCGCTACCTTGGCGTAAAATCGGATGCAGCAGATACTTTGGTATGTATAATCCCCATTTTATTTGTTTCCGTTAATTCAACAAAATGACCTACTTATTTCTCTAACATTTCTGCATTTCAAAACCAATTTTTTTAAATGACAGCGCAAGAAATTTAAATACAATAGGCTGTTAGAAATAGAGGTCATAACACTGTCATTGGAGCTAGCGGCCTTCATCATATTAGAGTGCTTGGAAAAAAAGGAACATTCTCCATTGCACAGTCCGTGAATTACAAGGCAGGCCAGAGCGGCTCGCTAGACTATTATAATTTCTTTTTTATTTCAAGGGATCGAGAGCTTCATAAGTATATTTGAGCTGTAACCATAATATTTGTAATGTTTAATGTTGATGGACATGTCGTCTACATAGCAAATATAAAACGAAACCTGATTCCACCAATAAAATAAAATAAATTATAAAATAGTAAAATACGAAAAGGAGATCATTGCAGGTTAGCACAAAACCGGCAGTAATGGTAAAGTGGTCACTGCCGGTTCATGGCATGAGCCGGCAGTGTTGGTTGAGCCATCACTGTCGGCTTGAAATACAAACCGACAGTGTTGCTGAAGACAACACTATTGGTTTGAGCTACCAGCCGACAGTGGTGGCTCGACCAACACAGCTGGCTTGAGCCATGAACCGACAGTGATGGCTTGCTCAACACTACCGGCTTGAGACACAAGCCGACAATGTAGGCTTTCTCAACACTGCTGGCTTGAGACAAGAACCGACACTCTTGAGGCAAACATCACTGTCGGTTGGGTCTATAAACTGGCAGTGTTGTTCAATTGGACACTGTCGGGTGGAGCCAGGAACCGACACTGTTGCCTATAGATCAGTGTCGGTTTTTAGGAACTGACGGCGATGACATCACTGCCGGTATGCCACTGTCGGCTCAAAATCTGGCATTGAAAATCCAACATTAAACGGGTTTTTTGAACCGACAGTGATATCAAGATCTGGGTAGAGGTGGCGATGAGGGTGGCATCGAGGAAGTAGGCATCGATGACCTTGTCGAAGTCTTTGCCATCGAGGGGCTTGCGTTTGCTTCGAATGCTAGAGGACAGCAATAACTACCCCTTGCCCATCTTGGACTCCTTCTGCTTGAGCTGATTCCAGAAGTGCATCTGGTAGGTATCCGTCATGCCGGTGCGCATCCATTTCTCGACGAGGCAACGTGCCATCAGGCGATCTCCATCGTGGACGTAGGGGTCTACACGGCGGTCATTGAGAAGCAGCAGCTCGCGCTCAACGTGGTTTATTTTGGCGGCGAGGTGCAGTGGCGTGTGGCCGTTGATGTTGATGCGGTTAAGAAGCTCCGCAGGACGGACAAGGCAGATCAGGCATCGGAGAGCGTTCTCCATGGCGCTGGTGACGGAGACGTGGAAGGTGTTGCGGCCATTGTTGTCGACCATCTCGGCCACATCGGGGCAGTGCTAGAGCAGCGCCTTGATGGCGCCTGACGAGCCATACTCCACGGCGACGTGCAGCGGGGACTCAACGAAGGTATTGTGCACTACGTCAGAATAGCACTTCACTGCCGGTTCAAAATACCCCATCACTGCCAGATTTTGAACCAGCACAACCATACTGGCAGTGATGAGGGTAAGCTATCACTGTCGGTTTCTACAAACTGGCAGTGTTCTTCAACTTCACTGCCGGTTCTTTACACAACCGGTAGAGTTCAGTTTCACCAACACTACCGGTTCATAAGACCACCCAACAGAGTTTAGTTTCACCAACACTCTCGGTTTGTATTTCAACCGACAATGTTCTCGTAAGAATCACTGCCGGTTTGTGACAAGAACCAGCAGTTCAACAGTATCGGTTTTTCAACCGACAGTGTTCTCGTAAGAATCACTGTCGGTTTGTGACAAGAACCGACAGTGATGTATAAGCCAACGCTGTCGGTTCGTGGCTCCAGCCGACAGTGGCATCTTATCCATCACTGCCAGTTTATTTTTAACCGGCAGTGATGTTTACGACAACATTGCCAGTTTGCTGCTAACCAGCAGTGATGGCACGTTTGTATTTTATTGTTTTATAATTTATTTTAATTAATATTTTTTGTGGAATTGGGTTTCGCTTTATATATGCCACGTAGACGACTGGTCCATCAATATTAAACGTTACAAATATTACGGTTACAGTTCAAATGTTCTTATCAAGATCTCGATCCCTCAAAATAAAAAAGAAATGTTCTTGGACTTCACAGATTGTGCAATGCTTCTCGAACTTCTTACAATAATCTAGTGAGCCGCTCTAGGGCATACTGGTCCTTGAACTTTATGGATTGTGCAATGAAAAATACTTCATCTTTTTCCAATACCTCGGCTAAGATGAATTTTGCCAGCTCCGATTGCAGCACGACGATCTCCATGTGTAACAGCCTTTCGTGGTTATATTTCTTACGCTGTCGTTCAAAAAAGATGATATCCAAAGAGAAATCAGTAAATTATTTTGTTGAATGATTAACAGACATAAATGAAAAGGAGATTATACACACCAACTTATCGGCTTCTTCCGATTTTCTGCCGATGTAGCAAAGCATTGCCCACATTACATACAACCTTGAATGGGACCTGCGTCCCACCGATATGTCTTCTTCGGACACTGAGCAACATTAAAAGGAGAAACATTAGAAAGTGGTATGTGTGATTAGAAAATAATATGTTATTAGGATCGCTTACTAATTCAGCACTGCCACCAGTGCATCCAGATGATGAAATGGTTTTTTCTTCGAGTCCCACACCTCGATCAGATTTTTGGCAGGATTAACACAAATGAAGACAAAATGGTTGCTGCAATCACAGAATCCTAATTATCGAATAATTCTAACGAAAAAGAAGCATAAAATTAAAAGCCGAGAACACATACTCACAGTTGTAGTCTAGAAGTATGCGGGTTTTGTTCTTCATCTTGAATTCATCGAAAATAACAATCAATCTCTGTTTCAAGTCTTCCACGTTACATCCATGGAGGCCTAGACATGTCTTCTCATTGACTCGCAAGGGGTGCAAGAAGCCTATGCTATCCCATTTGCTTTTTAGAATGCAAAATTTTGCTATACATCTACATAAAATCATGGGAAGTGCTCAAAAGTTAACAATTTATGTCCCGAGAGAGTAGTTAATTGTAATATCGTACGTGTAGAGTACTTACATAGTCCACAGCGTCAACATTTGTGTATAGAGAGAGCGTTTCTAGTATAGCTAGAACAAGCACTCCCACTCGACATCGAACTTCTCTTCTTCAGGATAATAAAAAACATGTGGCGAACGGATAATAACCTCAAAACCAATGTTCTCCGTCTCTGTTGCTTGAGTCATGTAATATTCATGTAACTGGCATATATATGTTGTCAAATTTTTATACTCATGATCGGGAACCAAAAGATTGCCCCTTTCATACTTCATTGCCGATGTTCCCGTCCCTTGTTCATCATAATAGATATTCACGGCCTCTTCCATAGTTAATTCAGGGTTGTCTTCGACATACTTCTATATGTTCCTTAATTCTTTATTATGTATTTCTTCGGCTCTTATTGTAGCGTACTGATTCTGTGTTTGCCTTTCAAATTCGGACTTCAACAAAAATAGAGGCAGTGAGGCACAAAGATTGAAGAAACTAACACAATCTTTCTTCGAGATGTGTGCTGTAAATTTTTCTTTCATCAAGGTGGTAACGCTGCCACTAAACGACCTTTTTTCTTTTTTGTTGGTCCACTTTAGGAGCATTAGCGACCGAATCCAAGGACCTTTTCTGCGATTGCGAGGATGTCCTCGATCTTGTTTTGGGCTGAGGTGGAGGAGGAGGAGGAGGAGGAGGATGACGACGAGAATTCTATTTTCTTGGGGCTGATGAAGATGGAGGAGGAGGAGGAGTCTTCTCTTTTCTCAGGGCTGATGAGGATGGAGTCGAACAAGGAGGAATAGAAGGAGACCTCTGTCTTCTCGGGGGTGATGGCAAGGGATGAGGAGGGGAGTGATCTCTGTTGGGGGATGGTGAGTGATCATTGTGGGTGGGCGAAGACTCGCAGTCGTCCTCATCATCAGAGGACAATTGGTGGTCAAGCTTAATGAAGCGCTTGCGCCAGGCCACTTGAGAGCCCTTGTTATGACCAAGTTTCAGCCTATCTTCTACTACGGGGTACTCAATGTGTATCTTGTTATACTTCTTATTAAGTATTCGGTCAATGGTGACGCAAGTGTACCCTTGTGGAATTGGGCGGCCATTAATGGTCCCGTCTCCCATAGGCCAGGCCTGGCCGAGTGCCACCTAATACTTTGGCCATTCCTGACAGATGTACAACTTGACATTGACGAGTTCAGTGATGCCTTCCACCATATGAGGCACATTCGCATCTTCTTCATCGAGCGGGGTCGCTCCATAGCTGTTGTGACCCCTAAACTGTGGGCTAAAGGCAGTAGAAGTAGGGTTTTGTGGTACTCCTGACCCCTTGGACAACAAAATTTGCTAGACTCGTGCTTCAACAGTCGCCTCAATCCGTGCGTCCATTCTTTCTCCATCTCTTTTAGTCGCCTCAAATACTCTGCCTCTTGATCCGCTCTACCCCTCGAGCGGCTCCAGTAAGTGTTAGATTCTTGGGGGAATGCTAGTTTCCAAGGAACAACACCTGTTCCTCTAGTGCGACCAGGGTGCTCCTTAGTTCCGAGTGCTTGGGTGAGCACGTCTTTCTTCCTATTAGAAGTGCGAGTCCCTTGCCTCACCTCCTCAGTTAGCTAGGAGATCCTCTAGATGAGTTCGCTCATGGGTTGATTTGTGGAGCTAAAGCTCCCGTCCTCTGCGTGGCATACATTCCTCCCCATACAGTATATTACCGATCTTGGCTCCCAATCAGCGGTCTCAACCTGAACGCCTTCCTCAGCAAGGCAATCCATCTTTTCAAGTTTTGCTTCAAATTCTAGCATCTTTTTGGCATAGCCACGAGAGCCGAGATGATGAGGATTCGTCGCTTTCTGCGAGTTCTCCTTATTCTTCCTACTCAGTTCTAAGTACTCCTCCGATAACCTGTCTTCCTTGAAATCCTGCCAGAAGTCCTTTTGCTTGCTAAACTGTCCACCATTAAAATTTGGCTCTTTATTTTGGAGGACAAAATTCTTGTACAATGTCCCCTTGAAATTCTTCAAGCATGTCCCCATGATTTCTTTTGCTTTTTTCTTGACTAACTCCTTGTCATACTCCATTGGGAAAGTGAAATACTCTGAGATTTTGATATCCCATATGTAATCCTTCTCACTTTCGAGAACCCTCCATGGGTCATCATCTTTTCCAATCCACTTCTTATACCTAATCGGGATGAAGTCCCTTACAAGTAACCCAAGGATAGTCTTGTATTTGGTCAAAGCTATAGGCGGTGAGAGTGGATCCCTAAATTCATCGAACTCAGTGATGTGCCAATGTGCATTCCTACCAATATGAATCTTTAACACGCCTCACTTGGATCTGGCCTTCCTGCTACCCGAACTCTCTGCCTCCTCGATCGGTGGAGGCTCCTGCTGGAGACACCAAGTAGGCTATGACCCTCTCAATTGATTAGCGTGTGTGGCTACATAATCACATGATACCAAAGTTACCTGGCCATCTTGGTCATTTTGACCCAGATCGAGCAGGCCGGACAGGGTCCATGGCTGCTCGTTCTCACCGTCCTAATTGACACCGTCACCGTTTATCGGATCATGCGGCTCTCCCGTCCCAGCGATATCAGTCGCTTCTTGTTGCCGATCTGTTCTTCGGTGATGGGGTAACAGGCGACGACGAGTCATGGCTGTGACATGATCGTGGTTAGTTTTGGCTGCGGACAACTACTAATAGCGTATGTTCCTATTATATATATATATATATATATGTTTAATGCAAAGTCTAATAATAAATCCAGATACAACAAAGTCAAATAATAGCATATGTTTACCTAGAACAAATTCATTTGATTGACCACATACAACAAAGTCCACCTACTGTTCTACAAATCTAAGCCTACATCAACTTTCAAATAAGAAAAGCAATGACCATAGCCATAAATAAAAGCATGACATCTTTCCAAGACCAAGGAGCAATTCTCCTAATCTTCACATCTCCGATGGGTGGCTTCTCTTCAATCTCCAGTGCCAACGGATGGCCACTGTTTGCATTCATTGGACCATAGTAGGCCGGTTGCCCATGGTTTGCAAGGTAGGCCTGATGACTATAGTAGGCCCTCAAAGCTTCAGCTTCTATGTTGTATTTTTTGTGCAAATTACTAGGGTAGTGATTGACTTGAGTATAGCAATCTTCCCAGGTTTGATAAATCCCAGGCACGTGACCAACATGCACTACATACCATGTCATGGTTGCCTATACATTTAAGTAAATTAGGTTGTCATTCAAACATGATGTATTCTTATAAAATTTAATATATTTATGAATAATACACAACAATTGTATAGATAGGAGTGTTTGGAAAACAGCTATTACTTACAACCTATTCTGAAAGAGGGACCAAAAGTTTTTACAGTGGTTCAAGCCTAAGACATGAACTTGCGCACCTTTCAGGCTTGGGAAGCACTATCTAGTTATAGGCATCCTTTTAGATATGAACTGCATAGACTTGTTGAGGCTGGGCTAGTGAGCTCCAATTTATAGTCTTTTGGCATGTGGTAAGTGGTAATGGTAAATCACTGAACAAGAGTTATTATTCAAGTTATATGGCCAAACTAAATCTATTTAATATTATTTATCATTGACATGATAAAAAATTACCTCAATAATGGGACCTCGAGAGCGAGACTCAGTCCGCCTTTGTTGCTGCTGCTGAGCCAATTTTAAAAGTTATTTTTAACTTTTTTTCTGGAACAAACATCTATAGATGCCTTTTTAAGCGTGATATATATTCCATCAAAATCAATTGACCTCTACCTATAGCGATTATTTTTCCTACAAATGAAATTCAGCAACATCTTTCTAGATATAGACCTTTTTTACTAATGTACGTTGTTAAGCAATGTACAGGTTGAGCTCAGCTTCCCAAATGCAGTTCTTTGTACAAGCATGCTTAAAGCCTTTGCTATAGATTAAAAAATAGAGGGGAACAAAATAATTTATAAATGGAAGCTTAAAAAAATAACCAAAAAGATAACAACACATGACCATAGCACACATGTCTGTAGCCTCAGTAATAGTTACTACAACTTATAATTATATCATCATTGCACATGACCATAGCCTCAGTCCAATTAATATATTAAGTCATCGTAACCTTCATCTAAATGCCATCATAGACAAAAGAAAACACTCAGATTAAATATAGTTATCATCAGCACTGACATCATAGGAAATAGACAGTGCTAAGAAGTAAGAAAACTCCATTGGCAATTGATCAATGCTCAGATTAAAAACAACCATCATAAGCATACACATGTGCTTGGTATAGAGAAATCCTCAGAATATAATCAATCGTCATTGACATGGATATGTGCTCAGATTTATATAACAAACATATTTCAACAATGGACATGTGCTTAGTATAACCATTTTCATTAACAAATTCAACTCAAGCTTGAGCAATCACTGAGAGGCCTCACAAAGACGGTGAGGCATTTCATCAAACACAAAGACCACAGTGAGCCACGCACTCACCGTGGGGGGTGGGAAAGCAGCTGTCCACGCGCTCCTGAAGGCCTCGGCGGTGGGAGTGCAGGCTTGGAGGAGGAGGGGCACGGCTGGCATCATGGACGAGGAACGAGGGCACGGACGGCGCGGTGCTCCGGCGTGGGGCAGTCGATGGCGTGGGGCGGTGCTCCGGCGTGGGGCGGTGCACGGGCGTCGGTGTCGAAGAAGAGGAGCGCGGGGCTGGGAACGGCGGCGCGGGATGCGATGGACGGGTGTGCGGGGAACGGTGGTGCCCGTCGGCATGGGGTGGTGCTCCGGCGGCGCGGGAGGAGGGGTTGGCACGGGGTTGAAATGAATTTGGAAGATTTCAACCTGCGCCTTGTTATATACCAATGAGGTTCATCACTGCTGGTTCTAATAATAGACCGACAGTGATGAGGAACCATCACTACCGGTAAATTCCTTGATTTATGACTCAGTATGTTTCTATTCGATTTGGTCTAGTTGTTCATGGTGGTTTCGATTTGGTCTCAATCTAGTTGTCTGTGGTGGTTTAGATATGTTCAGTTTGATTAGATCTGTGCTCTTGTTTTGATCTCGATCTGTTGCAGGGTGTCCTCAATTTGGTTCTCTTTGCATCTGGTGGGCGTAAATGCGTATTCGAAAACCTATTTGACAACCAAAACGAATCATCAATTGAAAATAGAAACAAAAAAAAGAAAAAAAAGAAAACATTTAGTCCTGGTTGGTAATATCAACCGGGACTAAAGGGCCGGCCCACGTGGTCAGGCCGGGAGACCTCTTTAGTCCCGGTTGGTCACCTTTAGTCCCGGACGAGAAACCGGGACTAAAGGAGAGGCCCTTTAGTCCCGGATTCGTGCTCCCGGTTGAGAAACCGGGATTAAAGGGGTTTCCCAACCGGAAGCATAGCCTGTTTCTGTACTAGTGATTAGAGTAAAAACTAATTATTTTTCTATCATAATCTACCCAATACATGTGGAATGAGGGTGGATTTGAAGTGCAGCCAAACAAGGCCCTTAGCGGGTTTTCACGTTTCCACTGCATGCAATGGTGGGTTGAATCTAAAATTTCCACTTTCACTATACCTCCACGCATCTTCACCACACTAACATAGCGTTAGGTTGGCAGAAATGTAACGAGATATGATTACGTGAGTAACGATTGCATTGCAAGTTGAGTGTTTGTTTCAGCCCCTCAGTAAACAAATGCCACATTAGCAAATACAGATCAGCAGATAGCGGATACCCCTCTAAATCGTGTGGAATGGGATGCCGGTCATTCTTTGTCCCTTCTTCACATGGGTGCTGGAGCCGCTGAACAAACCTCTGGTGCTGCATATCTTCACGTGGGCGCAAGAGCTGCAACGAACAAGGCGCTCGGTGCTGACTGCTGAGGATGCAAGAGTGAGCGAAAGCGTTTCCATTACCGACTAGAACCAAACAAATATTATGATCTGACACATTGTTTACATTTCCGGTTCAATTGGATTCCATTACTGTTTGCATTTACATTTACCAACCAAACAACACCATGAGAGAGGTTCATTCACTACTTGCCCACTCTTGAACTTTGAAATGAATCAGAATTTTTAAATGGAAACTCATATCTCTTTGCCCCTCTGTGATAGTCCCATGATACACTAACTATTACGAGCAACCACTTTTCAACTATTTATAGTTCCGTACAAGCATGTCAAGATACATAATACGAATATTACACTTTTTTAGTACAAATCCTCAGGCTAAATAAAGAAAAAAACTCTGAAGAGTTCAAACATTGCAGCGAAGCTTGGTGAACTGCCTTCCATAGGCACCCTTAAGTGTGAATGGCACCACCCACTGTGGCCCTGTTTATTTGGACTTCCTGGGATCTTTTGGACCTCAGCTTTGGGACCTTCCAAAAGCCAAAAAAAAAAACTCCCAAAAACCAAAAGCCAGAAACTCCTCAAAGTGAGTTTTTTTTGGGGGGGGAGGGGGGAGGGGGGGTTGGCTCATGGGAGCTTTTTGGCTCTTGGAATGTCGCAAAGCCGAGATTCAAAAGCTCCTATGAAGCTAAAACAAACAGGGCCTATATATTCTCAACACTTCTGTAAATTCAAACTCTGCACACCATCAAAATTGCGAAGACCATGGTGTATGTGGTCAATTTTGCGGATCCTTGTCGTGATTGTCTACATATATGTAGTTAGAGTTTGGATTTATTAAAAAGAGGTGTTGAATTTCACTATATTTTGGTGATATTTTGTTGAAAGATTACATTTTTATTTTTGTAAAATAATAGATACCAAATGCAATACTGAACATGCTTATGTCATAAGATTGTAGACAATTCATCACTTTTCAGTGTAGAAGTACACCATCGTGGATTTTTTTCGTGTGCTTCCATGGAACAGGGTGTATACTAAGGAATGATGGAAAGGTCGATTAGTAGTTTGATGGTTGTGATGCTAAGGAATGATCACTCCCATTTTTGCAAAATATTGTTGATGTATAGAGTTAGGCTATGTAGAGCAAAGACCGATCAGCTGGTGGTATTGGTGTCTTCTAGATTATAGTGTGGCAAAGTAGTTTTGCTTCTAATGATATGTGATTTTTTTAGAAAAGCACGCACCATAGAGTCGTCTGTGAACGTGCACGGTGCACCGCATCCCATGAAGAGACTATTCGCGCCTTCGCGGCTCCGTATTCAAACCTCATGGCGACCACGAATGTGCTCCGTCATGCAAAAGATCGAGTTGGCCTCTAGATTTTGGGTGCTTGTTTACGAATTTGGGAGGGTTGAGAAATAAGAAGATCGTAGGTACGCTAAATTGTGAGAGGACCAAATTGCAAGATGAACATGGATTTTTAGAAAACATCCAAACATGCCACGTTAGTGGCGGCAACAGCAACATAACTTTTTTTTTGCTTACATGTCTCGTTCAGACATAGTTGTACACCGGCCACCTAAATTGTTGAAGTAGGCCAGATCAGTATTAGACATCATGTAGCATAACTTAAACCAACATAAACGTGTGTGATGTCTTGGTGTTTGATAGTTCTACACAAGCAAGTCGTTTGATGAAATTATGCTTTGTTGTTTATAGTTTGTTGCACGTAGTCACATTCATGTTGTAATTGAGGTCTCATGTTTCTAGTAAAGATACGGGGATACGGATATTTTATTTTTGTGTGAAGCATCGTCTTGTGCAAACTTGTATTGATCTAATACGACTAAATTTGACATACTAGCTAATGCAAACTTGTATTGATCTAATACGACTAAATTCTAGTAAAGATAGTTGTCCCACGTGTCAGAGCGAGACCAACCAGGACTTTGAAAGGTCAAATCTCGTAGAAGCCGAGTCGCCCCCGACCCCGAGGCGAGGAGCAAAAACAAAGGTCCGTCGAGCAAGACTCTCCTCCCCGAGCCGGGATCCCGGCGGCCGGCGCTGCAACGCTGTTCGGCAGCCATGGACTCCGGGACGGGAAGCTCCGCTGATCAGATTCGTGACGCGTCTCTACCTGTTTGCGCCCGCAACAGGTCCAAGGCGTCCCGGTCCCTGGCGGCGGTGGCGCAGACAAGGTGTTCGACGAAGTGCGTCCCTGGTTCGGAGGCACCAAGGCTCGACGAGGCGCAGCATCCGCAGCACCGGCCTTGGGCGGACCTCCCACCGGACATCCTCGGCGTCGTGGCCGGTCGCCTCGTCCTCTTGGAGGACCGCGCCAGGCTGCGCTCCGTCTGCCGCGCGTGGCGCGCCGCGGCGCGCATCCACCGGCGGCTGCCGCCGTGCCCGCCCCTGCTGGTGCTGTCCGACTTCTCGTTCTTCAGCTTTCGCTCCGAAGGGACCTTGATGGGCGCGTGTCGCCGGGTCCCGCTGCCGGAGAGGGAGATGGCAGGGTCTGGCAACGTCCGCTGCGTGGGCTCGTTCGAGGGGTGGCTCGTGGGCGTGAAGCGCAACAAAAGTCGTTACTTTGGCGACCTCCGGTGCTTCCTGATGAACGCTTTCTCCCAGGTTGTCATCCGTCTTCCTCCTCCTTCAGGTCGTTCAGGAGCTGCACGCTCCGCCGATACCTTCAGCACGTCTCTCCCCATCATCAATGGCTCTGGTGTGGTGAATTGCGCGTTCAACACTGCACCGTGCGTCATGTCATTCACCAAGGTCATCTTATCCTCTCCACCGGACTCCGGTTCCAAGTGTGTTGTGGCTGCCCTCTCCGACATCAAGAGTGCTGCTAAGCTTGCTCTCTGGCGGTCTGGGATGAAGTCATGGTGCGTATGTGATGGTGCCTGGAGAGCTCATTTCATTGATATTGTCTTCTGCCAGGGGAAGCTATTCATGCTCAGTTGCAGTGAAGTCGCTGCAGACCTCTTGGTCTTTGAGATCGCTGATGACAACAGTGGCTTGATGGTTTCTCATGTCGAATGTTGTGCAATTGAAATGCCAGAGGTCAGTGATAACATTTGTAAGAACATTTGGTGCATACTAGAGTGGCGTGGAAAACTATTAATTGTTGAGATATGCCATGGCAATGATGAATTTGGGGAAAGCTTTGTTGAGGTTAGAGTATTTGAGGCAGACTTGAGCACAAACCCTGTAAGATTAACTGAGATTGAGAGCTTGGATGGCGACTGCATCTTCATCAGCCCATGCAGCAGCAAGTCATTCCATTCGTGTCATTATGGTGAAGGTGGAGGTGAAGGTGATCTTATCTATATCTTTTTGTGGGGTCACCTCCACCGATTTGTGTACAAGATGAAAGATGGTACTATGGCACCATTTGCTGCAGACATACCAGAGGACAAACTTGGGGAAGCAGATGGTAAAGTGATGAATTCAACATTGTTATTTCCTCCTGAATGAACTTCTGGAGATCAACTCTGTTACCTGATCCTATGCCACTTGGGGCCAGGGGCCATGATGTTTTATTTCTCAGAGCTGAGACAAGTTTTCTGTTGTTTCATATGGCCTTCTGGTGATTTTTTTTTGGCAGTAAACTTATGTGCACTTATTTTGTTTTCAAGTTCCAGATTTTTAGTGCATTTGCACTTGTGCCTTGTGGGGGGGAGTCATACTAGTTCCTATCTAGATGAGCATCGGTTTCAGATTTGCTGGACACTATTATGCTGATGTTCCTTTATACCAATATTTCTTGCAATTCATGGTTAAGTGTGCTTGGTGTTTCTGGGCTGTTCGTGGAATCCTATGGCATGTTCGCTGGTTGGTTTCTGGGCTGATAAGGCTGGCTGGTGCTGGTTTGTTGTAAGAGAAAAACACTGTTGGCTGACTGATAAGCCCTGGCTGAAACCAACAAGCGAACAAGCTGCTATCCTTTAAAGTTGTTTTTGACGTAATCCAAAGAAGATATTTTGAATACAGGCGAGGCATGTTATTGGCCCTGTTCGTTTCGCTAGAAAGCCATGCTGAAAAGTATTGTTCACTACTACACTCGCACCTTTCGCAGCCGCATTGTAACCCACGTTGCAGTCTAATTTTGGCCTCGGCAGTAAGCTGTCGACAGTGATGGTCATAGCCTTCACCGTCGCCATCTGGGACCGACTGCGGTGTACACTAATACCGTCGATTGACTTATAATCCGTCCGTGATTAGGTCCTTACTTTAGTCGCATTGGAGCACGACCCGGCTATGGATGTACACTAACACCGCCGCATTGACAAATGATCTAACTGTGTCGAGGCTATCAAAATCGTCGTGTGGGCACATCAACCGCATGTGTAGTGGTCACCAGCACCGTCGTCTTGTACTTCGACCCGACTGTCAGCGGTGCGGGTTCACTGTCGGTTCGACGGCCGAGATGCCTGTGTAGAGGTTAACACCACCGTCGCTTCAGCGTATGATCCGCCAGTACAAATGTCATGGCCACCATCGCCTTGCACCACGATCCGCCTTTGATGATCGTTTAGTCAGTGTCGGGCTACTAAAGGATTCGACGGTGATATACTTTTGATCCCTGCCGCATCATACCTATAGCGACGGTGACAGAATTTCATCCCGTTTCATAATAGTTACTAATTCAGCTGGGCGCTTAATAGTTTGATGAACACAAAGCATACATATATATATAATCATTACATCCATAAATCATGTTCATAAACAAGAGTACTTTTACAATAACAATGCCATAACATCTTTCTCAACTGATGTCCTAACACAAGTGGTACATAGAGCATATTAAAGGTACTGATCTATAAAGACTTACATAACGAAACGACGTAGTTGTGCTCCTTATACCTACTTGCAAGGCAAAATGAATATAATTAGTGCATCCTTCGGATTGGTAGCCAATACACCATGGAACCCCTCTTATTCATCTCTGATCCACAACCTGAACAAAGCAAGAATTAATAATATTGAACATACCATTCCTTTAGTTAACAAGCCAAAATTGGACTATACATACATAGAATGAAAACAACTACCTACCTGAACAAACACTGTCGTGACGACGAAATGCAGGAAATGCACCTTTACTGCTCTGCTAATAACTCCATGAACAAGGGAACATAAGGAAGGTAGTAAGGCATGTTCATATGGAAACGTCCTCTTGATCTACAAAAGCGGATGACACGGGCATGGATGACATGAACCTTTCTGCGGTCCATGTCGTATGCAATCAATGTTCTATCCTTCCCAACAAGAAAAATGAAATTCTATTTTGGGTGAACTGTAATCACTCTGTACTCCCCACCACAAAGCTTAGAACCAACTTTAATATTCATGCGTCCAAACAGTTCTTTCGTGTCCATAGCATGCTTCAAATTCAAGTTATTAGTACCATAGTCTTCAAGTATCCACACTAAAAGCCAAGACCTATTGCGAAAATCGGCACAACACACACACAGGTGACCCTGAGCTTGATGGATGGACATTTCAGCACCACCTAGTTTACAAATTGTCCTCCATGTCTTTCCCTCCATATCCACGGCAACTATCGCAGAGTACTCAAACATGTGCATAAAACCATTAAGAAAAACACTTCTCGATTTTGAACGTAGAACAATACTACCATCGCCCCATTCAGATTCCTTAAAGATCCATGCTGCAGTTTTAGATGAGTAGATCTCCACACCTACGCACACACCCTCCACCTCAACAAATTCAATCACACGGAAGTGCGAGGATATTGATTCAAAACCTAAGCGAGCCTGACCAACAGAACAGATGCTACGCGGCAGTAAATGCCATTTGTCGGTCGTCGGATTACAAACAACATAGCGAGGTAATGCATCAGGCCCAGCACACCAGCAAAGGACAAGGCCGCTGCAACAATCTGAGACTAGGACTTTTTTAAGGGGGAAGGGCAAGAAGGACAAGGAGGGCCGTTCACCGGTGATGCTGGTGAAGTGGCGATTGCCCTTCCACCAGCTGCCATAGAAGAAGCCAACGACAGTTTATGAAAGCTTCTTACGTTGATAGGAGTCAGAGATAACGCGCCTCCAGGAGTGACAGACACACTTGCAGCTACACAAGGACCGGGTGGGGAGGTAGCTGAAGATGTCGGGAAGCACATCATCTGAGAGGTTGTCCTCTGCGTTCCTCATGTTGTGGGCCTGACACCACCAGCCAAAGAGATGAGGCCGCCCTACCATGGAATTGCATCAATAAACATTAGTAAGGAGATGAATTTCGAGGAGAAGGGACGGCGATGCAAGTAAGGCCTTATTACACTTGCCTTTGGATCTGGCGGTGGTGAGCACGAGGGGCAATGTCGGGGACAGTAGCAGCTCGTGCGTTGGTGGTCATGAGTAGGAGCGGCAATGACGAATAGCAGCAATGAGGACAAGAAAAGCTATGTGTGTGGGGGAGAGGGAAGGGGGCGGCGGTAGGGGGGAAGGGTTAAGGGGGATGTTGGGGCAGAGGTTGCTTGCTCTCTGCGTAACTTTTATGCCACACGGGAATCGAAATTTCATCAGTTCCGCACGGGAGGATTCAAACGCGGGATTGGAAATTTTGCAACTAAGCGGCGGTGAATGCACATTACCATCACCGGTGGCTGGGTCCTATTACCACCCAAAGACCGCCATATGATACGATGATGAACACTAAGGCACACAATCTTAACGTTTGGCATTGAAACAAAGCGAAACTGCGCACTTAGAAAACTAAGAAAAGCACAATTGCAGTATTCAGATTGAAAGGAAACCAACTTGAGTTCGATGGTGAATAATAAGGCACACAGATTTACATTGAAAGAAAGTCAAACTGTACACTTAGAAAACATAAGGAAAGCACAATGCCAGTACTCTCGGATTGAAAGGAATCCAACTTGAGTTCCATACATTCATACCGAATAAGTAGGTGCACACTACCAAGCTAACAAGCATTCCGAAAGCTAAAATGCAGATACTAATTAGGCTGACACTATGCAAAAGTTAAAAGACCTTCATATGTACATCATTGGTTGAATAATTAATCATTCTCCATGCAGATCCTAGTCAACCTCCATGGGATCGTTGTGAATCTCCATAATATCCTATAGATCATTGTCGACCTCCACGGGATCGTTGTCAATCTCTATGTTATCCCGAGCCTTGACCACAACCTTGTCCACATCCATTGGTACATTTTCATTTATCTCATCGACTTTGTTCACAAAGCACTAATTTGGTGAACCAATACTGAGGACAATAAGGCTAACAAGCTGCACTCCACGGATATACAAGGCCACAAACTCTAGAACAAGAAGATGTATTTTCATCTGCAAATCTAACAAAATCACTGTAGCTGGGTTGGAGGTGAAGGAGCAGAGAGCATGAGAGAGCAATATAAAGGAATATAGAATCCGGTGAAGGAGCAGATCCAGTGTAGTTACCTTAGATCCAGATGGAGCAGAGAAGCAGGGACGGTGCACTAAAGATTTGTGCGCCGGCGAGGTTGGAGGTGAAGGAGCAGTGAGCACGCGAGAGGCTGCCTTTCGTTCGATGCTAGCAGGGTGAAGCAGAGCAAGGGAGCAGAGTGGGGAATTGATGGGAGGAAGGTGTGGTAGGACCGTAGGAGTGTATATACAGTTCAATAAATTGGTTGCCTCTGTACCAGGGCCCAGTGTCCAGGGAAGTAGGATGCATCCAACACATCAATTAATACTTGGATCTACTATCATTTACAGTTCAATAAATTGAACACCTGGTTAATCACCTTACATTTAGTTCAACAATAGTTGTACAATAGTGATAAATTTCAGTCTGACACATCAATTGATACTTGGATGTACTAGTATTTACATTTCAATAAATTGAACACCTGGATAATCACCTTGCATTTAGTGTAACAATAGTTGTACAAAAGTGACAGATTTCAGTCTGATACATCCTAAATTGATACTTGAATCTACTGCAGTGAACTAAGAAACTTGTCAATGAACATGCCAAGAACTAAAGTAAGTACAAAATAGGTGAAAGAAGAATAGGAAGCACATTTCTTTCTCAAAGGTACAAAATCTTCCATCATCTTCATTGGAACCCTAGCTATTTCTTCAACCTGTGGCATAATCTCTTCCTCCTCCTACAGATGTTCTTCATTTGTTGTAACATTGGCCGCCGCCTTCAGCTCCCAAATCTTGTTATGTAAATCCAAAATCAAAGTTCTCAGAAATTTTCCATATTTGGGATCGTGCCACTTAAAGAACCCATAATCTAAGTCGGGCTACAAAAAAACCAAATTACCATAAGTACAGCAAGATTTCAACATTTGCATTGCGAAAATAGAATGAACAAGAAAGAAATTGAGTTACATTATTAACTCTGCAGCATCTGTGGCACCGACGTCCTAGGTTTCCATCACTCCACGAAATCCATCGAGGCGTCTTCAAGCCACAGCGACACAAGAGTGATGGCTGGTATGCG